AGACATTTTTAGAAAACTTCTAATGGCCAGAAAAGGAGATATGGAATTTTTTGTAATTTTCTAATTAAAATTATGAAAATCATGAATTTTCTTTTATTTTAATTACGAAGAAAAGAAGCGAAATTATGTGAACCCCGCCCGAACCAAAGTTGATCCTTGTATTTTTCCCGACATTTTGAGACCTTAGTCGGGGAAAACGGACTCCGTTACGACGAGTGGTGACCGCCAACAGACAGGAACAGAGGGGAAAACTAAGAGGAATTAGTGATTTTCTTTATATTTTTATAAAAATAAAAGGGAAACAAAAGTCGGCAAAAGTGATCCGTTGGAACCCGGCTTTAATCTGACTACAAACCGACGGAAAATTTTCTGCCTCGAGAAGTCGGACGTGGTGGCGTGCGGTCGCGCGCGAAAACCCAAAACCCTAATTGGGGGAAACCCTGATTAGGGTAAACCCTAACCCTAAGTTAGGGAAGGGCGGTGCGTGGCCGGGCGGATACAAGTCTTTCTATTCGACTCGTGATGGGAAAATTTTGTATAAATCCAGTTGACCAAATTGAAATTAATCGAAATTGGGAATTTTGTTTTAATTAAATAATTTAAGTTGTAAATCTGTTTTAAGTAATAATTTCTCATTAAAAATCGATTAAAAATCAAAATAAATATCAAAAATTCTTCAAGAAAGGAGAGTCGGCTTTATTTCGACTTTGAGATTCGGGAGATACTTCGCTTAACCCCATCCCAACGTGGGGGAAGCAAAGTGCTGCCGAAATTTCTCGGCAATTTGCTGAATTTAATTGAATTAAATCTTAAATAATTAAAGAAAATACTTGAAAATTAGCTAAAGATTGAGATACTTTTTCAGTTTTTAATCTTTCTTGTTAAACATCTACCGTCGGTATTTTGAGGCCTTCGGCCAAACCCTATCCCGACAGGGGGGGGGAGGCAAAGTGCTGTCGAAATTTTGAAAAATCTCCTAATTTAAATTATTAATTATCTTTTTATAAATATATTGAAAGCGATTAGGGAAATTAATTATAAATACGTTAGAAATTTATTTTTTTAAGCGACTTTCCTCTTGTTTCATTTGGCTTTAGTTCTGGGTAGGTAGCATTTGTCTAGGGACAATAGTCCCGAACCCCATCCCAACGGGGGGAGGCGAAACGCTGCCGAAATTTTAGTAAATCCCGAAATTTTATTTCTACCCCTAAAGAGTATCAAACTCGGCGGGCTTATATAAGTATTGATCCTTAATATATATAAACTAAGAATTTTTTTTTATCTTAACTAAATACATTTTCTATAATTTATAATTGAAAAATACAAAAGAATTCCCTAGAAGGAGAAGGGAAAGAGACGTTGCGGTAACCTGGTTTCTGGTGAACCTACTAGCTTGTTTTCGAAGGCGTGAGGCAAGTGACGCGAAATTTCAGTTATTAATCTACACCTCCCGCTTCCTGCGTTCTCTTTAGCCGCGAGTTGAATGTGGCCCCAGGTGCAAGTAGAGGTCTATAGGGCTACCATTGACTGGGACTTAGAGCCCCCTGAACTCATAGAGGGGGATCTGGTCGAGCTTACGATCCCTGGACGCAACATTCGACACGCTGACGGCCAGTTTGCGTGGAGGTCCATAATCCTGTCCGAGGACGTGTGGCTTTGGACGTACAAAGAGCACCGCCCGGGGCAAGGAGTGGGCGTAGTGAAAGCCTACTTGTATTTGGGACCGGGTGCGGTCAGGGAGGCCGTAGTGGGCCTCGCGACGACAGGGACTAGTGACGGAGTTAGCAGGGCGTTACGCTACCTAGGGGAAGAGGTAGCTGCTTTCCGAGCGGAGGACGCGAGCGACCCGTTGACCCTATTTCACGGACGCCCTCCTCTTGATATCACGGGCGAGCGTGTGGTAGCACGGGACGGGTTTTTCCCATACAGCGTTAGGAGCCTGCGGGCGATAGTTCCGACGTTCGTAGTAGAGAGCGTCTTTGGAGGTATTGGTGGAGTGGTCGAGACATACCTGACCTATCAGGATATCAAGATCCTGGCGAGAAGGCATGCCGACCTAGACTACATCTATTATTCTCTTGCGACCAGTGGGCCTCATTGGGGAGACGAGAGGGTTCAGCTTATAGAGCTGATCCGTTCGATAGAGGACGAGTGACCCCAGTCTTCGTGCGTTTGGGATTGGTTAGACCGTGAGCTCCGAGCAGGCCCCGAGTACGTGACTTGCATCGGGCGGCTCTTCTCAGACGACTGGGGGAGCTGGTGGAGTGAGGACGCCGGGCGACCTCTGATATACGGCCACCAGTTGACGGAATACTACCAGGCCATAGGACAGGCGCCATACCGCGTCGAGGACGAGTTTGACGACGAGGGTTGGGAGCGAGAGGACGACGAGGAGCTGTGGGAACCAGACTGGGTCGACYYAGAGAGTGAGGTTGACGAGGAGGAGATTGACGTTATAGACGCCCATTTTCCCAGGATAGGAGTAGTGGTCGGGGCGTAGGAGGTAGAGGAGTGCACCAGGGCGACGGATGAGTGAGCTTGGCTACTGAACCTATTCGACCATACTGGACCTGAGTACGAGAGTTGTCAGAAGGGTTAGCAACGTCGAGAGATGGGATGTATCGGAGGGAGTAGAGTGATGCTGACCGAGAGTAGGAGAAGAAATGAGGAGTGATTCAGTGGCCTGGTTAGCTTATGTTTTCTCACGAGAGTCCGAATCGTATAGTGTGAGGAAGCTTGTGGGACCCAGAGAGACGGCGATTGGATACGACATACCACTTCCTGTGGCGTTAGAAGAGGCAGGGCGTGTACCGATACGATACTTGGGAACGTGGCTCGTTGAGGGGCTCTTCCTATGGACAGTGATACTACGAGACGGACGACCCGAGAGGACTCATGATCTAGAAGGGGTCGGGCATCTAATAGCGGATAGAACACACRATTTAGAGATAGGGCTAACGCTCGCAGGGGCGAGCAGGAGTTGGTGGAGAAGCGAGTTGTTGACCAGAGTGATCGTTAATCAGCAATTGGCGAGACTCTCTGGAGGGAGGACGAGTAGGAACTGCTTGGTATACGATCCACCACATCCGACCCTCTACCCGAGAAAGGATTGGCGATTCGGAGTTCCTACCTTCGTGATAGGGCAGACCTATGGGAGCGTGGATCGTTTGAGGAGAGCAGTGGATCACACACTTCACGCGCTTTGGGAGGGCTTAGCGCCCCGCTTCAAGGAAGTATACTACGTCATTTGTGTGAGGTGGGGGCCGCCCAGTAGAGAGACGCTTGACGACATCATAGATGTTACGAGCTGGGTGGACTGTCTGAGGCCTATCGATCTGATTAGGTACTGCAGGAGACGGGCAGATATCGATTACGGGGGGCTAGAGGACGCAAGATTTCTCTCCGAGGTCGCAACTTAGGGAATGCCGGGAAGGACGGCCACGGTGATACGTGTAGAAGAGCAACTGGTAAGCACAGGATACACTGTGACATTACTTCTCCGAGCGTACGTAGACGAGGACTTGACGGCGAGTGAGTGCAGACAACGAGCTAGGGATTTGATCCACGAGCGTAGAACTGATGTACTGGCGCGAGTGACCTTCCAGACCTCGATTTCCTATGATGTGATGATATGGTCTCATGGTTATATGCGCGCGGAGCACTACCACGATGAGACGGTAGCGGAGGCTAGAGCGAGGGTGAGAGGGTGCGCTGGAGAAAGATGTGGACTGAGTATGGAAGAGGAGAGTGAGGCAGTCAGAAGAGTGAGAAAGCGCGTTAAAGAACCACTCTTGAACCAAGTAAAGAAGTTGGGGGACAAGTTAAGAGAGAACTGGTCGTGTCAAGACGAGGGCAAGTTGCGAAGGGCTGAATTCGTGACGAGAGAGTTAAAGAGTCTGTTTAGGGAGGAGAGAGAGATTATCCAGGCGTGGAGATCAGACTTTTTGGAGAAGGTAAAGGCTAGAAGCGTATCACGCGAAGAAACTAGTAAGCGATCTGCAAAGAGCGAGACAACGGAAGACAAAGTAACGCAGGGGAGTAGCGACAGGACACGAGCGGGACTGCACTACACACGACGGATCGGTACTCATTACATGTGGTAGGGAGACTGGACGGACCATTAGTGTTAGTGATCATAAAACTCCAGCTCCATACCAGACTGTGCATAGTTGAGGAGGCAGAGTGTTTCCGCCGTGCCCTGCGTGAGGCAAGGGGGACAGGACTTTGGATTGGAATAGAAGGAGGACGGAGGATAAAATACGTACTCCGAGTAACACCCTTCGAAGGGCGGTCTCGGATAAGGGCATGGTACGAGACGACCAGAGAGGCTGAGAGGTTGAAGATAAGTCAAGCCAGGAAAGCTGGAGAGATAGGGAAACTTGTAACAGATGGTGCAATACTCAGGGTGTTAGCCGCTCACAACCGGTACTGGAAGGAAACGATAAAGACTTTAGAGGCGATAGACGAAGGAGGACATAATGAGGACTTTGAGACATTTTATGACATATTGGAGCGGTCGGCGATGAGGTTACAAGTCGTTATAGCACTAACTTACCTCAGCTGTTAGACAGATGACCTCGTAGTCGTCTGGGAGATAAGGTAGTGGAAATAAAAATTGGAAGCTCTTGAAAGGATAGTGGAAGYTAGAGAGGTCGATGGGCGACTTTGGATGGCAGTATGAGGGCCTTTAGCGGGCTAACCGATTCATACAGGGCTAGAAGAACTAGCAAGGAGGACGGAGAGAGACGCTCGGTGACTTTTGAGGAGTGTTGATGAGGAGACATTGGCTAGGTTTGGGATTGCAATCTGTCTCAAGGATAGAGGTCCTGTCACGGGCGTACTGTGGATCCGGACAGGCACGGCCTTGTTGACBGATCCCGAAKGAGARGTTACTTAGACACAGGGATTCTTGGGATAGAGAGAGAACACGAGATCTGCGACCGGTACGGGATACTGGAAGTGGTAATCAAGGCAGGCGAGAGCTAAGATTGGAGGCGGACGCGAGTCGTGATAAAGAAACAGGTCCGGGCTGCCGCGACTGTCACAGGTCCGGGCTGCAGCGACTGTCATAGGGTCAGGTTGTAACAGTTGGCTAGAATACCTAACTGCATCTTTTGGCGGTCCAATGGAACCCGACACGATGAAGCCACAACCGACCACGGGCGAAGCAGGAGAGGAGTACAGGGCATCGCTCGATCGAGCACTGAGGGATCTGAAGGAAAGAATTAGGCAAGAAGCACCGCTGAGATGGGCTGACCAAACCAATGACGGAGGGTTCGACATGAGAGGCGAACCAGTTGCGACAGAGCCGCAGGAGGCTCTAAAAACGGGTACCTCGAGCGAACAACGAGAAGCGATGAGGCGACGCTCCCCCGAGTACGAGCGGAGGGACACCATAGCGGACAGGTACAGAGACGACTGGAGAGAGAATTTGAGGGATTCCTATTGGAGGGACAGAGATAGAGACAGGGCGCCGCCCAGGCGAGTCTTCGACCCCCAGACAGGGGAGTCACATCCACTCCTTTACGAGAGCAAGGATCACTATATTATTACGCACAAGGCCTTAGAGCCTCCTACCTTCAGGGGTTATGGTATCACAGAATATCTGGAGAAGTGGGAGCTTCACGCCAGCCGGAGTCAG